TTAGGTAAGAGTATAGAGTTATATCTAGCCTTAGTCTATTCTTTTATTTATATAAGATTATCTTATTTTAGGGTTATTATAAGGGGTTATTAGAGTAAATAGTATATTATTATTTTTACTATATATATTATATATATATCTATTAAGTTTTTTTTTACTTATATAATCTATAAATAATATATAAAACTTTAACTCTTTTACTACTATAAGTATAAGATAAGAGCTTTTTATAACTATAATTATTATTTACTTATAAATTTTTTACTAGTTATTAGCTAATTTAACTAATTTACTTAATTTAGCTAATTTATTTAATTAATCTAATTAATTTAATTAATTTAGCTAGTTTACTAGTATAATAAATAAAGTAAGATTTCTTTATTTTTATAAGCTTTTTCTTTTTTTTATTAACTAAATTCTTTATATATCTTCCCCTTCTCTTCTTTACTAGCCTTATATATAGGCTTTACTTATTTAGGCTATACCTAATATACTATTCTTATTACTAATATTATATAAGAAGCTTTATATTTTTACTACTATTACTAAGTAAATAATATCTCCTTACCTTATATCTACTTTAGGCCTATAGTTAATCTTTTCTTAGATTTTATATAAAATATTAAAAATATTAAAAATACTAAAAATAATAAGTTTTAGTTTATACCCTCCTTACCCCTAGACTATTTACTAACCTATACCTCTAAACTAGGTTATATATTAAGCTTAACTAAGGTCTATCTTAAGAAATCCCTTATAACCTTTATCTAAGGTAAATAAAAATAACTAATATTATTACTTATTTTAATTAAGCTAATATATATTATATTTAGTCTATATTTACTTTATATTTAACTTATACTAATAAAAATAGGTAAAGGTTATATTTATATTAAGTATATAAAGCTTAAGTAATATTACTTTAATATAAGTCTACCTTTACCTTTAACTAAGACTAATATTAACTAAATAAATAATATTTATTATTATTCTAGTTATTACTATCCTCTAAGCTTAATACCTAGCTAATACTAAATATACCTTAGGTAAGGTCCTAGTAAATACTAAGTTTAGACGTCTCCTAAGAGCTATAACCTAGGCTTACTCTAATATTAGTAATACTATAGCTAAAGACTATACTAACTAGACCTAGTCTACTAGTAATACTATTATAGCCCTAGTAATTACTATTATTACTATTACTACTACTACCTTAGCCTTTATTATTACTATTACTACCCTTATTATAAGGTAGGTTATAAGCCTATCTTTACTAGACTAGGCCTTATTTACTACTATATTAGGTAAACTAGGGGTAATCTCCTCCTTACTCTAACGCCTAATTATAGCTACTAAAGGGCTAGGCCTAGTCCTAAGAGGGGGGGATAAAGGAGATAAGGAGGGAGAGGGGGGGGGGGGAGAAGAGTACTAATAAGAAAGAGGATAAGGAAAGGGAGGATTAGGGGGGCCTATAACTACTAAAGGCCTAGACTAAGAGTAGCCTTAGGTTATTATTATATATATTTTAAGTTCTATTTTCTATATTAATAAGAGCTAGGCTAGGCCTAAAGTTATCTTATAATAGTCTTAGGTTAATATTATACTTATAAAATCTAATATTAATTATATTTTTATTTTTATATTTATACTTATATTTATATTATAATTACTTTATTTTAGTTTTAATTATATATTAACCTTTATATATATTAGTCTTTTCTTATTATAGACCTACTTTATTATCTTCTTACTTTATATTA